GGGTCTCTGTCTTGATCGGGGGGGAAAGAGGGAGAAATGAAGATGACACAGATATATAGTTTATGTTCGACTTAGAAGTATTTATTTAGCGATCGGCGCTAAAACGTCATCTGTACGGAACATCGTTGTGTACGGAACATAGTCTCCGTTACCCGAAACATTCCCAAACGACAGACTTCGTCTTTTTCGACGGGGGAAAAAGTTCCAGGGATTCATCTCCTTCGGCCATCCTACACACAGGTGACTCTGACCGCTCGCAGCAACCGGAGGTGAGCATGAACAGCTCTTCGCTGCACACAACTGAGGGAGTCCTGCACTTTCCGTCTTTGACGACACGTAAAAAAACTGCGCATACCTCAGGAACGGTATACCGGAAAATTTGAGTGGTTTTGAAACTGCGACTTTTCCAAACCGCGGTATACCTTGAAACCGGTTATCGTCCCATGCCTAGTGAAGATAACTTTGATAGAAAGGTATGCAATAAATTCGGTTGAATAGCTGTCAGCTGTTAAATTTAATACACAATTAGATAAAAACCAATTTAGCTCGACTAATTACCAAGCAGTGCTTCATTTAGTTCAGTCTGTGGTGTAAAAAGATCGCATTAGCAATTAAAGAGTATAACTTCAGCAAAACATGCTCAGGTCAAAGTTTCTGAATTATTTCTGATTCGGTAGTACACGGCATGAAGAGTTTCTGGGTATAATGTGTCACAGTTTACTTTATTTTGCTCTCCTCACTTACATTAATGAACTATAGTGTCCTGCACACACTAGTAGAAAAATATCAACAATTATATCTGGTGTCGGAGTAGTAATGGCTCATGCTAACCTGCTCCGCTAGCGCTCTCTCCAGCTGGTTGAGATGAATGACAGCGTCAGCCGTGTCCAGTCGCTCCAGATGAGAGTATAAGATGTTTTTTAGCACGTCTCGCTCCTGAACAAACACCTGCTGAACAGCTGAAAGCAGCTCCGCTCGCCAGTCGCCATCCAGCTACAGACACCGAGAACACAAAACACGTCTGAACTAGCGCAGGACCAAACACGCTAAAATAAACAATAACAGGAACATAAAGGAATACATGAACTGATCAAATACATTTTTCAATTTAGTCCTAATGTATTACTTTTACCTTTATAATACATTTTTAGAATTTTTATTTTATTTACTTTATTACTCTTTCATTTATAAATATTTTTCAAATGTAGAGTTTTTTTTAGTCCAATCAGGACCACCTCTCCCTCATTTCCATGTTGCACAAAGTAAATAAATAAATAATAAATAGTAATTAATTCAATTATAAAATGCAAGGTTAAAAATGAATAAGTTACAATAAATTGAAAAAAAAAACACTCGAAGCTTAAACACTTCATAAAAATGTATAAAAATAACAGAAATGTAAAATTGAAATAAATATTAAATAAAAAAACAATCAAATGTATAAATAAATAAATACAGAAATAAATATAAACAAATGAATTCATAAATAAATAAGTGAAAGAATAAAACATTTAAAACAAAAGTAAATATTTCACAAAGGGCTAAATATAATAAAAAAGAATACATTTTGAAATTTAAAAAAGCACAATAAAACTTGCTAAAATTAATTAAATCATTAAATGTGAAATTAAAAAGAATAAGTAAAAATAAATCGAAATAAAACACTCAAAGAAGCTTAAACACTTCATAAAAATTAATAAAATAACAGAAATGTAAAATTTAAATGAATTATTTTAAATAAAAAACAATCAATCAAAATTAAAAATGCACACTAAAGTTAAATAAACCTCATAAAGATGAATTCATAAATAAATAAGTGAAAGAATAAAACATTTAAAACAAAAGTAAATATTTCACAAAGGGCTAAATATAATAAAAAATAATACATTTTGAAATTTAAAAAAGCACAATAAAACTTGCTAAAATTAATTAAATCATTAAATGCGAAATTAAAAAGAATAAGTAAAAATAAATCGAAATAAAACACTCAAAGAAGCTTAAACACTTCATAAAAATTAATAAAATAACAGAAATGTAAAATTTAAATGAATTATTTTAAATAAAAAACAATCAATCAAAATTAAAAATGCACACTAAAGTTAAATAAACCTCATAAAGATTCAAATAAAATGAAAATGACTTACTAAAAACAAAAGAAGAATGCTAAATTAAAATGCATAAAGGATTTTAAAATAAAAACAATCAAAATGTCACAAAAGTGTCAAATCAAAATAAATGCGGGTCAAAGACGAAAAAGGGTTTAAGCATAAAAACAATAAGTGTAATACTGCTTTAAATTGTTGTGGTTTTCCCAAAATTAAAAAAAAAAATTGTTTAATTTAATTGCAATTTTGTTTTTGTTTTTCGGAGCAAAAAATAAATATCTTCAATCACAATCTTCTCAGAGGCATATTTACAACAAAAATCAATGTGCCACTATCCTAGGTTTCGCCCATTAGTCAGCAAGAATTTTTTACTTATTTAAAACACAAAATGTAATATGCTCTTAATTCTTTTATATATTTTAATATGTACAGGTCAGAATAAGCATGTTGTTTGAATTTTTAGATAAATATTGTGTTCCACTGAATGACAATGTAACATTATTTCAACCAAATTTTGACATTTTATTCTCCAAAACCTTAAAAGTCGACACTTTGCTTACATTTAATGTGCTTTCTATGGACATAAAATCACTTTTGTAAATAGTCTTTCGATGCGGACATCTTAACGTCTTTGACCCTTATAAAACTGTAAATATATATTTATACAAATACATATATATAATAAATAAATATAATTAAAACTAATTGCATTTGTTTAATCATGCCATTTATTCCGTTATTTTCCTATTATTAAGTTTATTAATTCATTAGTTTACTTGTAATCGCTACAAGAGTTCATGCATGATTAAATGTATGAAACATGAAACTCCGGATCATTTTGTCATTGCTTGACGGAAGTGGCCTGTGTGTGTGTGTTCACCTGTGTGTCCGTCTGCAGCGTGCTGACGAGGAGCTGGAGGGACTCGACCGTGTTGATGAAGGCGTCTCTCTCGTTGCTCCAGCCCTGAGGAGCTCGATCCGCTTCAGACAGCGGCAGCTCGGAGAGAGACAGCACCTGCATGCCCTCCTGATGCACCTCACGCAGCAGGCTCTGTGTGAACACAGCTCCATTTACAGGCATTTACATTACATCCAATAATCAGAGCAAGGACTTAATTGCATTGTGATGTCTACATGTCACTCCCGTTTAAATGCAATTTCCATTATTCGCTAAGAATTGTGGTTATTTTTTCACTGCCATTATTCACATACCCCACTGCACAGCACAAAATTGGACTCAGATTGAGTCTCACACTCACAGACACAGACACAGACAGACACACACACAGACAGACACACACAGACACTCTCACACAGACACACACACTCACACACACAGACACACTCACACGGACAAACAGAGGGATGCGC